TTTATGAGATTTATTGTGTATACTTGTTTCACTGGTAACATATGAAACAGGATGGTGGTACTGATACCAGGGATTTTTTTATCTTCAGACTAGTCTGGCATTATTCTGACTGACACAGTGGTTTATTTCCACTGTACCACTGCTGATTTTAGTAAAATCAAATTAGTTAATTGCTGAAACTTATGTGTATAATTGATGCAATAACAGCTTTGTAAGTGAATAATGTTGTGTATAGTGTAATTAAGTTTGTTACAATTTTCGTTTGTGAATAATTTTGCAAATATAATGCAAATCACTATGCAAATATAAACGCAAATTACTATGCAAATATAATGCAAATTACTATGCAAGTTACTATTTAAACTGTTACCACCACAGTGGTTTAAAAGGCGGTGGTTGTCGCACTGCGCAAGTGTTCGACATTTGTGTTGATAAACATTGATTTTCCTACAATCTAATGCGCTCTTCTAATGGAAATCACAAGTATGAGGTTTGATCTGGGCGCAACTTGCACTAATTATCGTCGGTGGCTCCTTCAATACCTTCCAATCACCTAAAAAAATACCCAATTAAAGCTTGGTAACATCTCAGTTTGTACTTGATCTGCGCAACAGCCAAAGTCGCTATCTTTGTTTATATGAGACCCATATATCTCGCGCATGACTACCGCCCTTTCAACTTTTGGGGGAATATTGTGATTGATCAAATGTGTATGGCACATTATTAACCATGGAAATATCACATAAATCCCATGAGATGTTTGTCGCCACTATGACCTTTGTTTGTCATGTTTTTTGTTGATTTCACGCATAACAAGGGATCTCACAGTGAATGGGAAATTGTCTATTTTTTGCATAATAATGTGGAATAATGTGGAAGTATGTCATTTGTATAAAAAACATTGTCTGATTGTATGCCTTTTCTGTTTTTGACTCACACAAGTGTGCCTTGAAAATATTGAATTGAGTAATAAATCCTAGTATTTATTCACAGTTTAAAAGTAATATATAAATTGATTATAAATAGATACTATACTTCATTCCTCCACATATATAGTAATGTGTAACTTTCACTGGCATTTAATTTCAATATTTTGACATATTTACTGGGTTTTACATCCCAAATTTCCCAATGAAACAATGTATTCTATTGCAATTTGAAAATTTCACACGGATTAAGTTTAGCTGACTTTATTTATCAGTGAAAATAGCGAAATCAAAACCCAGTGAATAATTGGTGAGTTTACAGTGTGGTACAACTGCATGTGGATGATATAATGATTGAACAAATGCAAAGACAAATGAAAATGTTCAAACTGCATCCCATTAACTCAACTCAATCCTGTTCAGCCATCTAAGTTGTCACTATTTTGATTACCATATCAAGCAGACCATTAAAACTTAATTAAATGGTTCTTACTATTGGTTATCAGTATTCTGTGAATTGGACTGCACAAAAACACTGTTAACTGTATTTAAAGGTGCATGCCAGGAAATAATCCTAAATGTATTGTCCATGTAGAGTGGATTTGTCTTAATTGACTATTAAATCCTAGAATTCTATTTGCTTTGTATGTAATCTAGAAAATGACATTCAGGACCTCAAGTCATACCAGACAGATTCTGAACTATGTACCTTGGGGATACAGCTATGTGCAACTTATTTTTGATGAAGGGTGGTCTAATTAGACCAGAGACATAACTAATATTCCAATTAAAGCCTAGAGCAGCAATACTTTTGCAGTTTAGCCTTTATTTTATTATTACATAGATACATGTCCACTGATTACATCTATACCCCCACAGCCAACCTAATATAGGCACAAGAGGCTAATCACTGTTTACAAACAATTCATATACAAACATGCATTAAAAGTAAACTTTTTTCCTACAGAATTCTTAAAATTAGATAAGAGTGGTTAAAATGGACCATCAGAACACACTATAGTGTGGCACATCCACTTTAGTGTCTGTCTAGGGTTTTTTTTAATATCACCCTGGCGTCAAACATGTGATATGATTGCCATTCCATTATAATACCTTGGCAATTATACAATTTACTTATTTATTCAGGAGTTCAGTAACAAATTCTTAAGTTATAGCAAATAGAATAGGGAAAACCACACAAAAAAAAATAGAATGTCATTTCAAATTTTACAAATTAAACACAATATCATTATTTCCCATAGGAAACATACTTGTGTGATAAAGAAACCGAACCAAACATGGTAGTAAGTAACTTTTCTGCACACTGACCCACAAACTGAACCTAGAAAATCTTATATTATAAACATACATACAATAAATTAAGGTGAATTATAACCATCATGACAATAAATTGGTGCGAAAGTGTTTTGTTTGAGAAAAACTTTAAATTTTAGAATTAAAAATGTTTCTGAAAAAGACAGGTTCACAAAAAATTTAAAGGTCATAAAAGTTATGATTAACAAACAAATAAAATAATAGAAAATACACAATAAAACTGGTGTTACCTGTGGACAGTCTTTTATGTAATGGCCCTTCTGGAAACAAAGATGGCACAGATAGGTTGGTGGTGGTCGCTTTTCACGTTTTCTCTCGATCAGCGGGTTACCGAGGGTAAGGTCACTAAACTGATCTGCGATGTCGCCAATGCTGCCGTAGGGAGAAGGCATCAATTTGGATTGCTGTTGGGGGAAAAAGTGAAATTAAAAGAACGCGTTAATGCTGCCCCTGTGTCGGGTAAAAAAAAGCGGTATTGTGGAGCAGACGACAAGCGGCAGACAGTAAGAAGCCGATTTCGTGACGACAAAACATGTCGAACACCTACAAAACTACATCACGGCCAGATTTCGTATTAAGCTGGCATTAGTGGCAACTTCACTGCGAAATGTAAACAATTTGACCAATTTTGCTGACAGTTTCGTTGACTCGGTAGAATATTTGAAAGTTGAGAAACCCATACATCAAATAATGTCATCGAAGAATGCTCGTAAAAAGGGTTGACGCTCAGCGTTGGGTTCATCATGGTTGCTGTCGTTTTCTCGACCACCACGGCCGACCGATCTATCCTCGGAAATAAACCTAGGGGCTGTAGCAAGGGAAATCTTATCTGCGACGGCGGCTGGAGTTTGTCAATCACCCCCTATATACCAGAGCACAACTGGATGATGGCCGCGTTATTGAGTAGCTTCGTCTGCCTGCTATTGGACAGTGCCACATTCCAGAGCGGAGATCGTCAGCAGGGAGCCACAAGGCCTGCTATTAAAACTAACTATCCTACCATCTTATGTTTCATGACAACTCCAGGGCCGACGAATGGCAACAACAAAATGTTTTACAATTAACAAAAAAGTTTCACATATACGATTCCAAAATACACCCGATCATCGAAAAATCAGTTTAGTTGTCAAAAAAACGGAACTCAAAACAATGTCAGCACAGGAAAGAGTGAAAATGTGAACGGAAACAAGTTGCCTATAACATAAATACCGTCCGCCATCTTAGATAATTTGTGCAGATGGTGAAATAGTAGTATAGTACGCCATATAAGGTTTTTAAAAATGGTTATTACAGCGCGATAAAAAATATGAAAATATACATATCAAATCCATGAAATGTGGAAGAATATTCGGTATTTGGTGTCTGTCAAAATCGAACAATGACCTACTTTACATAACACGTTTCTAATCTGTAGTAACTACACAAATAAAATCAACAGTTCACCAACTAATACACGCACTAGGTCAATATTAATCTTATGTAAACGGCATAATCCACAAATACATTTCAACTTCGTCGTTTTTATATAGGACAATAGTAGCCCGTGTGAATGGCGCGGTCTGCGAGACCGACTACTACAATCATTTCACAGTGAGACTCCTCAACGAAATTTCAAAAACGGTTTGCATTTCACGGCGAATTATCGAATGATAATGATACCATCGGCTTTATTGTTAGCTACACACTCCAAATAATGCCGTTGGAACGATGAGATCCGGAACGATGGAGTGGCGAACGTCACTGAGCTATGAGAACAGCTGTTTTGAAAACTTTATGATTCTTTGTGAAACTCGGAGGACATTCGCGATTTGAATGAAAGTATACTGGTTAGCATGCATAGATGGTAGTGTGTGTGTTGGAATGTTTTTTTTTTCTGGTCAAATAACATTAAAAGGAATGGAATAAATTTGCTCACCTCGTTGTAGTTAGTGTTGTTGTTGTTATAATTCGCCAGCCCGTTGGTTATATTACTAATGGTGTTCGGGCTCAAATTTGGATTACCAAATTTATTTGCCCATCCAAAATCCGGGTGATTTTGAAGTTGTTGCTGCTGCTGTTGCTGTTGTCGCTGGAGTTGCGCTTGCTGTTGCTGTTTCTGTGCATTCTGTTCCTGTAGTGTCAGGTACATCCAGTTTAAAAGCTGAGCCGGTTGGTACATCGATGACGTTGCGTCAATCGTTGAGGAGAGCGACAAGTTAGACATGGTGTATCGGCGCCGGGAACTTGAATCTTACACCGAGCGTACAGTAGTGATGATCACATCGGCGAAAACGGGCCTCCGTCCCAATCAATCACTGAATTATACGGTCAACCAAACACGAGTGATATGTGGTGTGTGTTACCCCACTGCCAGTCATATACGAAATAAGCAACTATTTATCAAACAAACTTAATTTGACCAATCAGCGTGCAGTTTTTTTGTTTTGGGGATAATGACCATCAAACGAGCCGCCCTGGAAGTTCTCCTGCTGGCGGGCTCACAGTGGGATGGGTGGAGACTGGCCAGATGTTGTCAGTAAATCACTGTCAACGAATGTCAGCGATCACAGCCTCACTAAACAATCTTGAAGATTCAATGTCTTGGGAGCAAGCGAGTAATAATCTACATATAGTAATGCGTCATCTCCTGTCGTCCCGAGCCAAACAACTTATGATTTTGAACATTGACTTGCCCATTCATTTATCCTGTGTAGTGCTGGAAATTATAAACAGTTGAATCTGCGGGGTTCGTCTCTTAGCAACCGGGTGTTTAAGATGCTGAGCCGTCTGGCAAGTGTCAATATCGCGGTCCAAAAGAACACTTGCCTGTTGAGAAGTGAACAAAAATACATACATAAAATAAATATAACATATGTGTGAAAATCAAGCGCAAAGTGACCTAAGATTATCGTGTTATTATCGTATATGAGTTCGTGTGATGGTCAAAGCATGTTATTGACCAGCCTGACAACATCTGTTACGGTGATTTGAAGCAGGGAGGGAAGTTGTCCCCTTCGATTCGGTGTCCGCCATCACCAGCGCTCTCTCCCTCGCCACACTGCGTGTGATCGAGTGAGGTTATCCCAGAATTTAAGAAGTTTTAATATTATTAATGTTAGTCCGACTTTGGTCAAAACACCGAAAAATGTATTTGGGGGTGATCGGATTTATTGAAACTTTTTCTACAGCAACCCAGTGAATTCATACCTCGCCCTGGGCCTGTCAAGTACATAGTTATTCACATAGTTCGCGGTATTTTGTTTCCTTTGGTGTATATTTCCGTGTCATTTATGACGCGCCCAGGAAAGGCTACGATTTGCACCGTATAACAGATTGGTGTCCTAGAAAGAAACACAAACAAACAGATCTAAAGGTAAACATACAATTATTATAAAATGTATAAACAGTCGGCCATGTGTTTTATGTGTTTATTGTGAACAGCCGGGCACTTGGTTTAGGTTTGTTTATACCGCCTGGAGATTGGAGCCACACCACCACCCTACACCCGAGAGTACGAAACAACTTGAAGAACTGTTTTTGTAAATATGCACTAACCCGTGTATGGCTGGGGTATACATAATGGATATATAGTACATTCGCCGACTGTTGCTACTATAGTTCAACTTTAGAATTGTTCGAGTTGTATTTATATTCTTTTCCATGATATCCAATCAATAATCTCTAATCAACTGAAAATATTCAAATTAAAAAAGGGGAAAAAAGTGGTCAAATCGGTAAGCTTTATCGAAATACACCGGAAATATACCTTTCCGTGTCACCCAGGGGACATCGAAATAGCAGTTGGTCTAAAAACGGCAATGCTTTCACTGTCATCGTCGGATGCGGTATTGTTTTCGAGTGATCACGTCTAAGAAAAAAGATAGAGGGATCGTTCACACAAGTTAGTGCAAGGCACCGTCCCTTGAGGGACGGTGGTGCAAGGGTTGTGCGGCTTCCGGTCTTCTCGGATATTGTGACGCTAGATCGTTCTCCTTCGGGGATCTCCGGGAGGCCGAAATGTAATATGTGAACACACAAATACTATAACTATGAGGTTTATGCATATACCTCACAACTGAAAGAATATATATATATACGTTACACAAAAGATATTTTTCTAATGGTTTGGTTACACCGACATGATACATGCAAACAACTTATGTTTCATATAAATGTTTGCGATCTGTCCGATTTATTCAATTCGAGAAAAATCATGCCTTTTAATATTTGTTTTTTGATCTTTCAGACACATTTAATTCAAGAAACTTTGGTACATTTTATTAAACTTTTGCGATATTTTCGACTTATTCAATTCGAGAAATGTGTGTACTGTTTACATTTTCGGAACCATGATATAGGCTATGCGCGATCTTTCTGAATTATTAAATCCGAGAAGTATTCATTAGTATTATTATCATGTTTTGCGGTCTTTCAGATTTATTTAATTCGAGAAAATTCATACCTTTGAAATTTCTGCAATCTTTTTCCATTCACAGGGACTGTAAAGGTATTGGGGCGTCGGACAACCGGTGAGACGGACAACTGGGTAGTTCTCAACCACAGTACATTTTAGTATTCAAATTAAAAAAATCGCAAAATTATATTTACAAATGATGACGTGACTGCATGTAACCTTTTATTTGATCATACTGATATAATTAAATCAAGCATCTCACTTTTGGTAAGTTGCTTCTCTATAAATATTTATGGGAATTATAGTATTAACAATGAGTGGGATGTCTCGATTGCAAAACAGGTATGAGTTGTTCGCACGAGACGTTGTCCGGGTTCCTGGGATGTACCACCATCCACATGGACCAAATCTACGATTTTTTGGTGTCTTTCAAAGCGCCACCAGTCGTCGTTCCGCATCGCATTTGATATGGCCGCATGCGATATAACGGGTGTAAAACATATTAAACCGACGGCAGTGGTCGTCGCGCCGCGCATGTGCTGTACTTGTGTTGATAAACATTGGTTTTCCCACAATCCAGTGCGCTCTTCTAATGGAAATCACGAGTACAAATTTTGAACTAATTCCCGTCGATGTCTACTTTGATACTTTCCAATCACGTCTCAGTTTGTGCTCGTTGGTCTCCGCAACAGTCAACGTCGCCATCATTGTTCATAAGAGACCCATATCTCGCGCATGTATGGCGCGACAACAACCGCCCTTTAATTGCTTTCATGACTATGGCTCTTTCAAATCATGGAAGGTACCTTCTATTCTCAAACGTACACCACGTGTGAGATGACATTCGATGACGTAATTTGGTGAACATGGACCTAATGACGTCATCACACATAATTTGACAGTCTGGAATATGACTATGACTTTATGATCTATGAAATTGTCGGTGATAACCCTAATTTTGTTTACGCCTTCACGGAAATCATTTTAAAATATGGACATTCGACGAAAGGTCGATAACCACCATTTCGGCCGTATGTTGTGTCTGTGTTCGGTCGTTTGGTGCCGCGGATGTCTCGTTTTCTTATCCAATCACCTGCAGCCAAATTTCAGTACATGTACTTTTCAGCCACGTGATTACTTACCGTATTTTTTGGATATGTAGGATTTATTTTTTATCCATTCTATAACATCAACGCATTAACGTCGCAATACACGAAATCAATCTGCAAAAATTTCTCCTATATTTGTTTTCCAGAATTTTGATCTAAGAAATAGCCAATTGGAAAAAAAATGGTCAAAGCGACGTGCACAACGGCTGCAAAATACATTGTATACATGAAATTCGAACACTGCGCGACGACGCCAGCTCTATTAACGATGTCCGGACAAAAAATACATATCGATCAGTACTCGTCATTATTTTTCGCGAAGAACTATGGGTAACCTGAGTAAATACGGTCTTATGACCCAGGCCCAATTGGCTGACTTTCAGCCTATTGACGGTGTAACAACGCGTATTTGATTTCAAATCTTTAATCGGGATAAACCGTCAGAACACATTTACCGATTTATTTTTCATTCTAAGTTAAGAAATTGCTCGTTGACAACTAATAGATATATCAACTCACAAAGTTCAGATCTCTAAAAATCATTAATTTTACACAACTGCCAAGTCCATTCATTTTATTTCCTGCAATTTATACCCCATTTGCTAGTTTTTTATTTTTTCAATTTTTAAATTACGATTAATTTAACTTTCAACGAAATGTCGTGCCCCCATGATTTAGAGAGGGTTGTCCAGAGAGATTATGACCGTTTTTTTTTTCTAGTGACTTGAAATACCAAAATCACGTCATGACTCAATGCGACTCAACAACGCAAACTGAAATTCTGTTGCGCCAACATAAGACATTTTAACTGCTGAGTATTTCCGACATTTTCCTTGCTCCGTTTCAAGTAATTTGACGTAAGTGTCCAACCAGACATCGGATAATCCGGGGTCCGGAAAAAAAACCCTTAGGAAAAAAAACCCTAGGTAAAAAACAATTGTTTTTTATCACCAATGCTTGCACATTGTCAGTATTTACATGTAAAAAAAATGGCAACACATATTTTCTGCTATTATTTTTAGAGTATGTTAATGGTCTCATGGGGGATATGGTAACAACAATTTCTTGAAGCCGTGGGACATTGTGTCAGGTGGAAATAATGGTGTGGGTTTAATTACAGTGTGTGGTAGTTAAATAATAATCGTGTAGTTGAATAATTTAATGTGTTTCACATTTTGTAAATATTTAATAAATAATGAAAAATAAAAAAAAAACACTGTGTAATAATGCTTGATGTTTACTTTTGCCCTTTCCTGTCCATCAATCCACCAATCTATATCAAAGATTTAAAACTAAATGAACAAGACTTATCTTATGTAAAGATCAAAGGCATCCCTCGACAATATATAGAATTAAACACTTAACAAAACACCAATGAATAGGCATTCAAGATCAAAGGTTGCCTATAAACGTAAGTGATTGACACAAATCATAGACCTTAGAAAGAGAGGGACAGGCAACTACATCATTTCTTTTGTTTTAACCTGGGTTATAATCCTCCAAATAATCTCACAATCCTATTAACGAATAAACAACCATCTGTTTATTAGTACTGTCGGCAGCACTCGTGAAATCGCGCAAAACGCGTGAGTTTCCCTGCGTGACTACTGAAGCAACGGTCATGAATATGCTAATTGTATGTTAATGAGTTTTCCACTTAGTATCACACGTTTCCAAATAGTTTAGAAAATTCAGAATTTCGACTTTTTTAAAGCATGTAATCAAATTAAAATGCCCAAATTATTTAGTAAACGCAATAATTTGAACAACAGATGTTTTTATTTTGAGAAATCGGGCGAAAATACAGTGATCTAAAACAGACCG